TACCCCATCCCCCACATACACGACATCACGGCATCGCTCAAGGGCACGACTATCTTTTCTAAAATCGATCTGGTACGAGCATATCACCAGATCCCAGTCGCTCTTGAAGACATCGAAAAAACTTCTATCACGACTCCTTTCGGTCTGTTTGAGTTCCTACGAATGCCATTTGGATTACGGAATGCTGCTCAAACTTTCCAAAGATTTATCGATAGCATAGTACGAGACTTGGATTTTGTTCACGTCTATATTGATGACCTGCTGATCGCATCATCAAACGTAGATGAAGATTATCAACACCTTACGCTATTATTTCAACGTCTTTCGGATAATGGAATAGTAGTCAACCCAGAGAAATGTGAATTGGGTAAATCAGAAATAATATTTCTGGGTCACATCATCAGACAAGAGAGTATTCTGCCTTGCGAGGACGAAATTCGAGCAATCAAGGAGTACAACGTGCCGTCCTCACTCAAGGAACTGAAGGCTTTTCTCGGTTTGGTTAACTTCTACCGACGTTTCATCCCTCATGCGGCAGAACGGTTACGACCATTAACCGATTTACTACACGGTAATCCACGCAAATTAGAATTGAACGATACCGCACGTACTGCATTCTCAGAGATCAAAACGGCTCTCGCTGAAGTTACACTTCTCGCTCATCCTGACCCATCAGCCACGCTTGGTATAGCGGTTGATGCATCAGATTTCGCTATAGGAGCCGTCATGCAACAGAATATCTCCGGTAGTTGGCAATCGCTTTAATTTTTCTCACGACGCCTTACTCCCACGGAGATGAGATATAGCGCTTTTGGTCGCGAGCTGCTTGCAGCCTACTGCGCCATCAAACACTTCCGGCACGCAGTAGAAGGACGTCAATTCATTTTATTCACCGACCATCAGCCCTAAACGCATGCCCTGCATACCAAGTCTGACCGCTACTCACCACGAGAGTGCAGACACTTGGACTATATCTCCCAGTTCACGACAGACCTTCGTCACATTAAAGGCGAGTCGAACTATGTTGCCGATGCTCTTTCACGTATCCGGACGAATGCAGTTACCTTACTGGTGCTCGATCTTCCTGCTATGGCCACCGCGCAAGCAAACGATCCTGTCTGTACAGAAGCACCACAATCTTCGTCCCTTCAGTGTCAGGAAGTACCTCTAGCTACTAGCTCAGATACTATCCTATGTGGTATTTCTACCGGTCTTCCTCGACCCATCGTACACTCTGCCCATCGCCGTCTCGTCTTCGATGCCCTTCATGGATTGTCTCATCCAGGTATCGCAGCCACATTACGTCTCATCGCTGCACGATACGTCTGGCCATCCATGAATAAAGATGTTCGTATGTGGGTAAAGCAACGCTTACAGTGTCAACGATCAAAAGTGCACAGGCACGTAGCTGCCCCCATTGGCACGTTCGCTACGCCTGATGCTCGCTTTGATCACGTTCATATAGACATTGTAGGACCATTGCCACCATCGCATGGGTATGATCACATACTCACGTGCATTGACCGTCTTACAAGATAGCCCAAAGCTATTCCCATCACGTCTATCACGGCGGAGACAGTTGCTCACCGCTTCGTAGAACGATGGATAGCATTGTACGGTTGTCCCTCGACTGTCACGACTGACCGAGGACAACAATTTGAGTCCGCATTATTCTTCTCACTGACTAGGCTGCTTGGTACGGAACGCATACGCACCACCGCCTACCATCCAGCATCGAATGGTTTAGTCGAAAGGTTTCATCACCAACTTAAAAGTGCTCTCCGAGCACACGAAAACGACAATTGGTACGAAACCTTACCTCTCGTTCTTTTAGGCATCAGAACGAGTTTGAAGGCAGATATCCAATGTTCCGCCGCTGAACTTGTATACGGCACGACATTGCGTCTGCCTGGAGAATTCTTCACACCACGGAGCAGTAATGATTTCGGTAAATCAGACTTCGTCCATCGACTGTCTGCATTTACGCGAACGCTGTCTCCGGTGTCAACTCGAATACAACATCGACAGGTCGCTCTCCCTCGAAAGTTATCTACCTGTTCACATGTTTTCATACGAGTAGATTCGGTACGCAAAGCTTTGCAACAGCCTTACGAAGGCCCTTTTCACGTGATCTGTCGTCACGAAAAGACCTTCAAGGTTGATCGACTCGGCCGCGTCGAGATCGTCAGCATTGATCGTCTCAAACCAGCATACGTCGATGACACTGCCCTACCCGATAATTTGAGACTCAATGCTAGACCTATCAAATCTTCTAGCGGGATCTCTACGTCTACCTCGGATCCCAAGCTAGATATATCAGAGACCTCGTTCTCACGTCCCGGTCAACAGCACGCGTCATCTGCACCATCTACGGACGAGACTTCCGTCTCACGTCCAGATCGGCAGACCACGCCGCCCTTGACCTCGGATGAGATCGCAGACTCACGAAGTACAAACGAGACTACCGTCTCCCGTTCCGGTCGCCGAGTACTTTTACCCGTACGCTTTCGCGACTAAACGCACAGTCAATAACGGATACGGTGTAGGACAATTCCTATACTACACGCATGCTACACTTTTCTTTTTTTTTGATTTTTTTTTGTATCCTGAGCCCACGCCTCCGACCATCGCCCGTTTGATAACGTCGACTTCAGTCAACTTTGGCAAAAGCTGGTTTGGCCACCCACGCTCTAGTCAACGCACTCAGTCGATTATCTGGTCTCGAATTCGCCTGGCATACGCTTGGTCGTTATGGTCGCGTCCGGTTTCTGGGCTCAACGTGGTTTCGTCCTACGTCTGCAGCGTTTTCTGGTCCACATCCCTACGAACGCAATCATCAGATCCTGGATACAAACTGCTCTGGTGTGGTATGCTAGTTCGACCAAAAAATACAGCACACTTCTCCTGGTACTGTTCTGCGCAAAAGACCTTCGTTGGCAACTCGAGGATGAACGATCACTTCCTGTTCCGCCAATTTCCTCCGTCCTCCAACCGCATTTCTGCCGATCAGTCCCACGAATCAAACCGCTAACTATCGAAAGTGTAAACCCTTTCTAGCAGGGGGCTCCGGTAGTGACCTACTTTTGTTAACAGAACGCGATTTGTTCAATGAAAACAATTATTATTATAACCAATTGTACCAGTGACTGTTTTACTGTGCTCGTTTGTTTAACTGTGCTAATAACAGCCATTTTGGTCTTCCATTGTATTCCATTGCTTCTACGCGGTTTTCGACTACGCACGTATCTTTTCTTGCCAATCGCACCTGTACTCCTTTGGCACGATCTCGATATTCTTTCGATACCACGAGATTGCCAACAAATATATTACGACTACTACTATCATCTGCCTTCTGATTTTTGGCCTACCGGAATCTTATTGGTCTATTGGCGGTGTTCATAGTCAATCTCAACTCGACACCACGCTACAAGAGCACTGTTGAACAGAAAAGAGATTAGATTCCAAATAACAAGGTTATATGGAAGTAAAAAGTACAATAAGGATAACGTTAGTATATTTATAGTTCTTTACATGAGAAGACTCTAGAGTGTTCTCCAAGTATCGACTAGCGCTGATTGGCTAATTCTTAACCAATCAGCGCGCACTAATTCATTCGTGCATTGAGCATGCTTTAGTCCAATCTATGTCCCGCTAACAATCTATATTCTAAAATCATGTGCAAACTACGGTGTCGACGGCTTATATGGTCTTTGAAATGCATTGACGCAGAGAAGGATGAATGGAGGACCTTAGACACTACTTTGATGTATACCAATTTTTCCCGATTCGCATCTAGATTATCTTCGACTTGTCTTCCCCTTGTCGCCCACCACAGGAATTTTCTTGTCCTCTCTTGTATGACATTTGCCGTACCAAAACATGAAAGCCTCTACATAAGCACTAATTGAGACATTTTATCAGATACTCAGCTAAATTTTACGAATGTCACATCAACAGACGAAACATTACTGTGAGATTCTGTCCAATCATCTGTCGCAATCGGTAAGTTAGTGAAGCATGAATGTCTATACCGAAACCCATGTTGCTTGGGGTTAACAGATCGTATGATTCTGCGTGACTTAGCAACTTAGATCAAATTATTTTCTTAAGCAACATAACTGCTACGTTTGTTAAACTGACAGGTCGACGGTTAGACACTATTGGTCTCTTCCCATACCTATATATGGGACTAACTATAGCATCTTTCTAGCCCCTAAAGAGTCGCATCTGAGGATGATATTTTGAATAGCACTATGAGAGATTTCGAACTAACGCCCGCAAAGAATGACAGAAACCGTGGACGTAACACATCATGATCGGGTGAAGTACCATTTATGAGGTTTTTAAGCAAGGGAAGAGTTGATTCATTAATCACATGAAAGGGTCTAACAGCTAGTATCGCAGAAATGTGATTATGAGAGTTACCAATAAACGTACCTGTACGATAGGACTTTTTGAGATTATCTGATAAAGACTCAGAATAATACAAATCTGATTTAGCTAGTATATCTTAATCTTCATCAAAAACTAATTGAGAAAATCCATCACAACGTCTTTTTTCATTCAACATACAAAAACAATCATCTTAGAAAAGCACAGCTATCGTGATTCAACTGCTCTTAAAGGTTTTGCTGTATCCAGTTTTTGATTCTTTTTTACATAGATTACAGATTTCTACATAATCAATCTTAAATGATTCATGTTCTGTTCACCAGAAAAAAATACTCAAAGACACACGGTAATTACACTAAATTCAGTTACAAACTTGAAACGACACCGAGATAAATCGTACAAGGAACTGAAGAATTCGCGCCACCATATTACTGTGTCAGATTGTGCCATATTGAACAGAAGATACGAAGATTGTAGAGGTTTAAGGTCGTTAATATTAGGCGACATTTCAAAGGGTTTTCTTCTTGGTTTATGTCTAACTGGTTGGTCGAGCATTGGGTCACTTAAGCCGGTTGTAGTCCAGTTCATATGTGGGCTGTTCAGTGGATATGAGATTACCGACGGCACAAAGAATATATCGGAATAGTAATCAATGCTTCTACTATGATTATTCGAAATTCGCTCCTGCCAAGGCTGAATTTTTTAAACGAAAACAAGATCGACATGTATTTTTACATGTTGACAGTTACAGAAAAGAGAGTTTTCCGACTTTTAGATTTGTGGAACTTTACCATGGTAGACTAGGCACTTCTGTTGCTGTTTTCGTTCCACCAAATCGCAACACTACACAGCCGTTCTCCCAAATATCAGAGTCAAACGAATGTTAGTCGTCATTATTTGTCTTAGTGTTGTTTTGATGGGTATATTTCACACTGGAAATTAAGAGTGAACTAGGAAGCTTGTTGGAGTTCTGAGGCTGAAAAACAAAATCTGAATTGTTCAAGTATTGTCTGTCATGGGTTTACATAACGTTTAGTAAGCTAATGATAAACTAGTAGATGTCTTCTATTGTTTCAACCTTTCCTTTAATTGACCCTAATTAAATAAGATTTTAAACCGTGACTACTGAGGCTACAAATTCCATTTTTTTTACACTATGTGATTTACGTTCCTACTTGAGATTTTTTCAATGAATTTAGCAAATATCCTGTACTAGGCTAGGGAGAAAGCCAATGGGTAAAATTCCGTGAGATATTGGTACATTGGGCTCGTTCATTATCGTTGTTCACCCAAATACAAACAGATCCTATGTTAATAATTAATCGCTACTAAAATATCTTTTTTTATTCGTTCTACTTTGAACTTTTGCTACTTATCTATGCATTCCCATCTGGTGTAAACAAATGATTTCCTTTGTAGGATCACGCAATCCCCTTGCGCTTACTGGATATTGAAATATAGTCCTTATGAACGTTCACGGTATGAGTAGAGGCTGACTACACCATTAATTTAGGTATCGCTGAGCCAAAATGTCATGGTAAGGATTCTGTGGAGTAGTATAAGCAAAACACTATGACAACCAAAACCCGGTTTTAACCGCAGAATGGTCAATAAACACTGCAGTTTGTTTTTATTTCCATTTGTTGGCCACTTTTGGTTGCTTAGTTGTAACTTAGTTGTCCAGTCATTAAAATGTTACTTTTTTTCACTGGTTTGAATACCTTTCACCTAAAGTGAGTTGGTTACTTAATATTTACTTGTTGCAAGCCATAGCATTTTACTCTCACATGTAATGTTACTATTATTGTTACTGACCGATAATTTCAAGGAATTTAATTGTCTCATAATTCTCAATATAAAACGAGGAACAAGAAGTACGTGAAACTGTTTCTCTTCAGCCGATTTCTCTCCGTTGTTATTGATACTTCCATTTTGGTATTCAACTATTTAGTCTCGTTTCGTCGTGCTGATATGTGGCAAATTCGGACAATTCACTTTCGACCCAGTTACACATTCTTTTTCCTGAGTTTACCAAGCCGTAAATCAACATATTACGTCATTACCAGCAAGCTTTCTCCTGTCAAAACTCGCAGAGGGGCATAGGCCGCTCATCAGCATTCTCCAACGAACTTTGTTCTGAGTAATCCCTCCCAGTTGTTTCCAGTAGCTATTCATCTTCTTTATGTCTGCCTCTAATTCCTAACGCAACGTGTTCCTTGGTTTTGTTCTTTTCCTTTTGCCTTCAGGATTCCAAGTTAGAGCTTGCATCGTGTATGTCCTATCCACCTCCATCGTGTTTGCCTAATTCACCCTTCAGCTGTAAGCTGATTTGTTCTCTCCCACAGTAGGCTGTTGCTGATATTATCCAGCCGACGGATCTGGACTATCTTGCGTAGACGATTATTTATGAATACTTGTACTTTTTTTGCTGATGGTTGTGGTAGTTCTTTAAGTTCCAGCTCCGTACAGTGGAACTGTCTTGAAGTTCGTACTGAAAATTCTGACTTTAATATTGGTTGACAGTTGTTTTGAGTTGCATATGTTCTTCAACTGAAGGAATGCTGCTCTTGCCCTGCCGATCCTTGTGATTACATCTGCTTCGGATTCTCCTTGTTAATCGATTATGTTGTCCAGGTTCGTGAAAGTTTCCATCTGTTCCAAAGCTTTTCCATCAAGTGTGATTGAGGTGGTGTTTTCCGAGTTTCGTTTTAGGATCTTGGTTTCTCCTTTGTGTATGTTGAGACTTACTGCTGCAGAAGCTGCTGATACGCTGACTGTCTTCATCTGCATTTGTTTGTTATGTATGGGAAAAAAGAGCTAGGTGATCTACGAATTGCATCCAAACTGTTCATTGTATTCCGTTCATCCCCTGAAATGTGGAGGTCTTTATAATCCAATTGACCACCAATGTGTGACACCGATCGTCAATTGAAATGAATCTGTGAGCTGTCCTCTTTGCTGGGCACCACCAGTTAACTGTTCTCCAGAAAGTGCGCTCGACAGATATTGTAGTACTATCTGGAGACTTGAATGCTCAGGTCGGGCGTCTAGGCACAGAAGAGAGTCGTTTACGTGGCCGATGGGGACTCGTTGGTCGCAGGACAGATAACGGGGAACGTCTACTGCAACTATGCACAGACCACAACCTGTTTCTGGCTAGCACTAACTTTCGGCACAGTCATCGCCGATGTGCCACCTGGCGTCCCCCTTCTACATCTCAAGCCTGGATACAGATTGATCACATCGCGATCAGCTACCGCTGGCGTGGTTGTGTACAAGACTGCCGCTCCTTTGGAGTACCTATCTGGAATCTGACCATGCTCTGGTCTGCGCCAATCTTACCTTACTTTTCAGTGGACAACGAAGTGACCGTCACCAAAGGATTGATGTTGGCAAGCTGGCTGCAACTTCTGTTGCTAGTAAGTACCGAACTGAGCTAGCTTCTAGGCTAGCTACCATTCCACCGAAAAGTATAGATGAGCATTGGTTGCAATTGCATGACGCCATGAAAATGGTGGGTCAAGTCTGTTGTAGGTTCGCGAAACGTCCCGCTTACAAGCACTGGGTTTCTTCTGGTTCCTTAAAACTGATTGAAGCCCGTCGGTCTACTCCGGGTGACCGTGGGTTTGACCACAGACGAAGGATGTTACGTAATGAAATCGGGCAAAGCTTGCGTAAGGACCGAGAAGCCTGGTGGTCGGAGCGTGCTAATGAGCTGGAAGCAGCAGCTGCATCTGGTAATTACCGGAAGCTCTTTCAACTCATCCGAGCCACTGGCAGCAAGAAGTCTGGTGTGAGCGAAACAATCTGCGAGGATGACGAAATGCCAATCACTAATATCCATCGACGTCTTGGACGATGGGCAGAATTTTTCGAAGTGCAGTTCAACTGGCCTGCTGCTCCGGCAACATCCGTCAGACTGTCTTGCCCTCCATGGCCGGTGACGAATGATCCACCAAATGAGGCGGAAGTCCGCAAGGAACTCCAACTCTTGAAACGTTACAAATCACCGGGCCCAGACGACTTACCTCCGGCTCTTTTTAAAGATGGTGGTGACTTTCTGACTGAGGGACTGACGACGTTGTTTGCAAAGGTCTGGGAACTAGAGAGTGTACCAACGTCATTGAATCAGTTGATAGTTGTCCTTATCTTTAAAAAGGGTTCACGTCGTTCCTGTAACAACTATCGGGGGATAAGTTTACTTCCGATTGCGTCCAAGCTATTGGCTTCCGTTATACTTCGTAGGTTGTTCAAAACCCGAGAAGGATTGACTCGCGAGGAGCAGGCTGGGTTTCGTTCCGGTCGAGGATGTATTGATCATATCTTCACCCTCCGCCAAGTGTTAGAACACCGTCATGATTATCAAAGGCCAACAATCGTAGTGTTTCTTGATATCAGGGCTGCCTTCGATTCATTGGATAGGACTGTTCTCTGGGATTGTCTATTAAAAAAGGGTGTGTCTGAGAAGTTTATTAACATCCTAAAAGCCATATACACAAACACCTCAGGCAGAGTGAGGGCATACAACCACCTTTCTCCACTATTCCATTCAAGCAGTGGTGTTAGACAGGGTTGTTCAATCTCACCATTCCTCTTCAACTCTGCCATCGATGACATTCTGGAAACAGCTCTGATGGATGTAAGTGATGATGGTGTGGATCTGTTGCCTGGAGAAAGACTTCTCGACCTTGAGTATGCGGATGATGTTGTCTTAATGTGCGAGAATGTTCAATCCATGCAATCCGCACTTAATCAGTTGGCAATCAATGTCCGTAGGTATGGTATGTGCTTTGCACCTTCGAAGTGCAAAGTACTTCTACAAGACTGACAGGATTCTAATCCTGTACTCACTCTGGATGGTGAGCAGATAGAAGTGGTCGAGAAGTTCGTGTATCTGGGTAGCTGCATAAGTACTGGTGGTGGCGTGAGTGATGAGATCAATGCACGTATAGTGAAAGCCAGAGCGGCTTATGCCAATCTGGGCCACCTTTGGCGCCTTCGTGATGTTAGTCTGGCTGTAAAAGGTCGGATCTACAACGCGACGGTGAGAGCAGTTTTGCTCTATGCTTGTAAAACCTGGCCTCTCCGAGTTGAGGATGTTAGACGACTCTCTGTGTTTGATCATCGTTGTCTCCGAAGGATTGCTAACATCCAGTGGCAACACTATGTCAGTAATGCAGAGGTCCGGCATCGTGTGTTCGGTCACAGAGACGATAATCCGATTGGTGTCACCATCTTGCCGACTCTGGGACTGGTTGGGAAAAGCGGAGAGGTGGTCAGTATATGACATGGTGTCGTGGTATGAAAGAAAGATGCACAAGACTGGCTTGTGTTGGTCCTTCACGACTCCCTGGCTGGGGTCCGAGAGACGGTGTAACGCAGTGGCTAGAGACGTTATCAGATATTGGCTCAGAATAGAAGCCAATGGCGATCCTACTGTAACCTTCTTTTACTTTCTTCATAAAAAGTGGTTGTATCTTCCTTAACTGAAAGATTTCTTATGATTGTACCTTTCGTTTTCCCCATCATTGTTCTCTCTCTCTTTTTATTTATTTATAATTCCCCACGTTCATTACTTTTTTTTCTCCTCTTCAGATTATCATTGTTTTGTGTGGCGCATATATATTTGGTACCCCCCTGTACCAATATTTATGTGTTCAAATAAATAATAAATAAATAAATAAGCACTTTTCTTTCCCAGTCAGTTGACGTCGTCCTATGATATCTCTATAGCCGGTGTTGTCGATTCCAAACCTGACGTTTAGGTCTCCCATCATGATGATGAGGCTCTTTGCTGGGCACTCCTTTTTGATGGACTGCAGCCTCTGATAAAACTGATCATTGTCGCCTTTTTTGTTATCATTGGTGGATGCATAACACTGGATAGCGTTCATTGTGATTCCCTCCTTGTTTGTTTTGAAGGATGCTCTGATGATTGTGGGTCCATGAGATTCCCATCCTATAAGTGCTTTTTGTACTTGTCTGGACAGCATCAGAGCAACTGCCTACTTGTGCGAAGCATTTTTTTCTATATGATCAGTTTACAACAGCATCTCTCTCTAATCTAACCTTTTCTGTCCAGCTTAGGTTCAAAACGTTTCAGTTATTCCGAGAACGGCCAAATTGTATCTCCTCATTTTTGTAGCTATTTGAATGGTTCTTCCGGTCTCATACATTTCCCGGACATTCCATGTGCCTATGTTAATCGTTGCACTGGTTGTTAGAAGGGGCATCGGCCTCGTGAGTTTTGAAGAATCTAGGCGTTCACCATGAGGCGTCATAGTTGTTCTGAATGAAGATCATTGAACTGGGAGGTCAGGGTTTAAATGGTTTAAATTGTTTATTCTGGTTAGTGTTTTTATAATAAGGTTATTTTCTGCAAGATAGGGCTGCCGACTGCACACCCAAGTCTCCTGCTGCACCCGGACATGGGACCAGCAATAACTTTAGAAGAGCTATACGCGAAGTTATAATACGTCGTAGATCTATAATATACATTATCATGGCCGTATATATATATATATATATATATATATATATATATATATATATATATATATATATATATATATAATTTGTGGATAACTTAGTGTCTTACTTTAATATTATGTTTTTACATTTGTTGGTGTTATTTTAGGTTCCACATATAAACGTTATGTGCTATTGTTGGGTTTGGCAGCTGGATTAGTTAGTCTTGGGTCGCTCTGGTTATACAACTTATTTGAGTGGTGTTCAGGCGTAAGTGTCTCCTAAATTTCTCGTGTTTATTTACTCGTCAGTTATTCGTTCTAGGTATATTCGTAGTAGATGAGAGCTTAATTTACAAACTACTTCGGTAATGTTAGATTTGAAACAAATTTTAATTGCAATACACACCTTATTCTAAACGTCACTATTGTCTGTAATTGGCATTTCGTGATTGAAGAATTCCTTTCTTACCATTGTTGTAAGCAAATTTGCAACCGAGGGGGCTGGGGCAAGTAGAAAAGCATATTAGGTGTGTACCCTAGTTCACCCTTTGACGTGTTGCTTCAAGGCTACTCGACCAACGATAAGATGTTGTCTTTGTGTCAATGAATACAAATACTGTGGGTTTTCATTAAATATTCTTAAGAAGCGAAGTCTGATAAAGATACTGCTTGATTGATTCATAGACAGACCTGAAATTTACTTGGTCTTCTCAGGTTTGTTGTTTCCGAGTATAATATCTCAATAACTTTCGTAATGTAACTTATTTACTAATTACAGGTTTCGTACCCAGCTTGAAGTCACTCTGACAGCACTATCTAGCTGGTCGATATTTATTGACCACCATATTTAAAAGCTTGTAAAGCTAACCTATCAGACTTTACTTCTTTCTTCACGATAAAATCAGGAGACGTATTGTGGATTTCCGATCTGTCATTTTAGCGGTAGTTTCAGTAACTTAGCTTTTAATGGTCTAGACAACTACCTAGGGTTAGCTTTTGCTACTACCTTTCCTGTCTCTTAATTTTTTTGTTTAGTACTCATAGTAATTGCTTGAGCGTTTTTCCAGTATCCAAAGTCTGGGACGATGGTTTTCTGAATCACATTGTCTTTCTTAAATTCTAAATATAATCTACTTACCTTGTGACGAAGATCTGAATACTTTTCTGAACGTTTCACTCATTTTTCTTTAATTCCACACGTGATATTTTCATTAAAATTCTGAGCTTTACTATATCTTTCTGTTGTAATGTTTCTGAGTCCGACAAAGCGCCGAATTGCACGTACTCTTACTCAGGCCTAATCAGAATCCAAGCATATAAATTAGAAGGAAAAAAAGTCGTCTACCGACCGTTTTTAACGGTGATCTGGTCATGTATTACAAATGTTCATCTTCTGCCTTTAAAGATAATGCTGTGCCTTTAGTTTTGAGATCACATGAAGTTGTTATCGCATCTGTTTATTCTTTTAGTGAGTTGCGGTACTAAGGTCCAAAGAATAACTTCACTAGGTTATTTTATGAGTCGTGTGGCCTGAGGATAGATTAATGCTAAGGGATTCTGGGATTGTTACTGGTGAGGCTTGTTTGATTCGAAGGTGCTCGAACAATGCGAACATTAACATATAGCTTAGAGAGCTGATTTATCAAATCAGTGGTAACATTTCACTATTATCGATAATATGACCAAAACCATAGAATAAGGAAGGGATTTAGTTTCTCACAGGTTGAACTCACGTGTTGCCCATATGAGGGCAATTAGCAATTTTCAGAAAACGATAACATGGAAGAATATTTCTTCTTAGCGAACGTGTGAAAACAATTAGGTTAGTGATTGTTGATTCATTGATTTAATAGAGGGATCATAAACCAAACTGAAAAACTTTCTGCAGCTGGAAACAGCGTCTTTCTTGGTAATAGTTTTTGGTTGTCTATTGTTAGCTTCGTAATTTTTAAATCCTTTCGAGAATACCGAAACCATCTAGGGTAGTGCCGAACCAATTTTTCATTTGTAGCTATTCAATGTCGCTAGAGACTTTGATCACTCAGGTAAATCCTCCGTTACCGCCACACTTCATTGCTCTTACTAGTACTATTTCATCTTCAAGCATAAAATTTGTTGCCATATTACCATCCAAACGGTCTACCCGTTAAAGTACGCCTTCAAGTTAAAAACATGACTGACAAAGCTATATGTGGTCGGCTCAGTAGATAAGTATTGTCGACTAGTCATCAGCTACTGTCGGGTCAAGTGAGTGCAATTTATATTGTATTGTGGTATTTACGTGGGAATGCTAGAGAGCAAAGAATTAAAAGCCGTCAGGAAGATTTTCTTTACTTTCATTAGTATTTAAAATAAATAATATATGATGTTTGTAAAATGATGAATTATTTTCTTATTCGTAATAGTTACAAACTTTTGAATATCTGAAAAAGACACACCAGGTGTTCAGTCCAGATGAATCAGAATGTAAAAGACAATTTTCAACTGGGCATGACGACGACTTTGATTTCAAACAAAGGAGTTCCAATTATTCAAAAAAGGTGGAAAGTATAGTAGATACACAGGTAGATATCGACCAGTATTTCAATTCGCACTGTATCCATTACGATCGTAAACTTCCTTCGAAGTCTGAAGAAATATTTCCTAGAAAATGTGTCACAAGCACTGACATTGTTATCACGAATAACGCCGATCAAGGGGTTCGTTCACAATTTTTATGGACTAGTGGATCCATGAATTGTCCTCATTATGGTTCAGGCTCATATAAGGTGATTAGTTTAAGCTTTTTTATATCCAACACTAAATTCTCATAATGTAATTCTTAAAATGTGTCCCATATCTTGAAAATATGAGTAGCTAGCCATTCTGTGTAAATACTTACTTCTTCCCTATTGTAATAGTTTAGCTAATTTATATTTCATGTATATTTACGGCCTTTTTAATATATTTTTCTATCTTAACAAAAAACCTATACATTAAGTCGTCCAACTTAGCGATTGCAGTTGAATCAGTCTGTCAATAAACTTTGGAATGTGTTGATTTCCTATTGTAGTCCGTGATTATTAGATTTATTAGATATAGTTTCTCATACTGAATTAGGTTTTCAGTGTTATGAAGTAAATAACATCAATATATAATATACATAGGGTGGCATATGGTAGTAGTTGTATCTCATTCAAGTGGGGATTAGTCGTATTCCGCATATCTTGGGATGGGAAATTTACTGTTTTAAGAAAGAATATTTCTTACAGATTAGGTCTTATTTACCAGAATGAACTTTGTATTGTCTGTGAATATTCTAAATATCATTGGTGGATAAAATATTTAAACGAAAGGCAATTACTTAATAGATAATGTGTATTTCTATGTGATATTAAACAATAGTTATCCAAATCTTTGACAATGTTTTTTACATCGCAAATGTTAAAAGTGAAGTGAAAGAAACCACATGTCCATTCAGAATCTCTGCAACAGATTTAACTCCAAATCGAAACTGTTCCTGGTTACCTCATACTGCTTAAAGGCTCAAGTACTTCTGATCTATCTGTCTATCTTAAGACATTGCATAGCTGAAAGTCAAGACACTCAGTATTGTAGAACAATTTATTTGACGTACACAAGAGAAAACAACCAGACGGAGGCAACAGATTAACGTTCAAACCTGGAAGGAAACATATTTATATTTAATCAACAGACGAACAAAGCGTACATATTATTCAAGAGTTTAATTAAATATCCAAGATTAGGCTACTCTACAAAAGTGACGAAATAAAAACGGTTTACATAGGTTAAAATGAGTGAAACTAAATGTTATCGAAAAATTTACAATATACTATTGTTGTTTAGTACAGGATTCCCCCGCCAGGACTCAGAAGTATATTGTTGAAAAAATAGTAATAAGATTTAAGTATCGTCCACAGATCTAGTAATTTTCTCATAATTAAACACATGTTCATATACTATGATGCTACATCACCTTCCTCGGCTACTCTAATCTATCGTTAGAGCCAAAGAATAATATAGTACGCATTAAAATCGAAACACCTTCATTTCTACATCTTCGGTGCTGTAGTCCGAATGGCTTCACTTTATGCAGAGAGGAGTTCTATAAGATACTTAAACTAGAAATTTTTTTACCCTCGAACAAGTCAAGCCAAAATTAGTTTATTTTCATATTACTGGTAGTTTTGTATCATACACAAAGAAAATTGATATTTCATGTTGTTTATTGTTTAACCTTTCGAATACCTATATTCTTCTAACACCAATGAAAGTTAAATATATGAAATCAAGCAGATGATAATCTGAAACTTATTTTTTTCCAAAAACTGATATTTGAAACTTTAAAAAGAAAAGGATGGTCAACAATATTCTGTGAATTAATGTAAAACATCGAGATCTCACGACCATTGATAAGAAAGTAAAACGTATATTGGATATTTTGAAACAAATTCGTAAGACATGTCAAGATATTTGTCATACTCATTACAGACTAACGTTTAATCCGATCTTAGTATTTATTAATTAATTTTAATTGCGTTTAGTCATAGTTATTAATCATCAAATTATCATGATGTTGTTTACTAGTAACTTATATACTGTTGAGCATTTCACTCGTTTACAGTTTATATCTGTAGCTCTATTTTATTTGGCCAACTTTCATTTATTAACCGGATTGTTCAGTCCTGTTTATCCCAATATGGTTCATAAAGTCCATCTTATCAATTCCCACTAAAAAGTGGATCTTTTATTGTCATACTGAAATTTTTATAGAGTGGTCAAGGTGTATCTAGTTATGATTCTACATGTTTGAAAAATATGTAGTGTTGTTTTTCTCGGTCGTTACATCATAGTAAATTTGAAATATCTATGTGAAGTGTAATTTTAGCATATATATATATATATATATATATATATATATATATATATATATATATAGTCCATTACTTAAATATTTTTCTTTGTGTACATTCCAGATCTGTACTATTTGTTGGCTAAATATGCCTGACTGCTGGCTTCATGGCCCAACATGGAGTTCTCTGAATTGTCAATTTAGTTCAAGTCATTTATGGAGAAACACTAACCTTTTAGGACTTCTCATATGCTTGCAGTTAATATACAGAGCAATTTATTTAGCTTGTAGTAGTGTAACGAAGCAATCTAGCTCTACACAAACTAGCCCTTTATCTACATCGAATTCAATAAACAATGAGTATTCTGAGTGTTTACAGCAATTGTCGAATACTCCTTTTAAATTTGGTAGGTTTCGCTTGTATGTGTATAAGTCTTGTTTTGGTTAACATTTTATGCCATAAAACATTTCCACATATTCAATATATTACACAGTCGGATTTTGATTGGTTATTTATTTTGAATAACAATTGTTGTGATCGATCAAATGTCATAGTAGTAAAAACGTAACTGCTCGTCATTTCAATGCTATCTATATTTCCTTGTACTAATAGACATACTTATGGTTATTGCAGTTTAAAATGGTTGAGATTCACGTTGCAAGAAAACAAACTGAAAGTATTTTCGCCAAACATTCTTTTAAAAGTATTTTTTTAAAGTGTAAGTTGAAGTATATGAATGATTGACACGCAGACGGATATTAAGGATTTTAGGCCTTCTGACTGCTGAAATCAGCAGTTGATAATTCCATGTACGGATACTACGTATTGGTTTGATCGAAAATAGCCCTCATCCAACCCAAGTACTACGTTACTATTGAGTTTGGTTATGTGGAACACCTTATCAACTGATCTGCGGTTTTTATCCTTATCCTACTCCTAGCTTCAAGTTTCTGTGCCCGATGTTCAATTATTTTTTTCTCTTTCCTGATTTTTCTTACAAATATTTTCCTTTAAAAATATTTTTCCAACATGATTTACTTTGGTCGTATATTATTATATTATTTTCTTCATGTAGAAATAGCCTTTTGTTAAACACTAATCATATTTTTTTGTTTTCTTAAAGTATAATAATTACTATTCGAAAGAAATTTCCATCTCGAACTGAAATCAAGTGGTTATTTATTTATTTATTTATTTGAACACAAATATTGGTACAAGGGGGCACCAAATATATATGCGCCACACAAAAAAGAATATTTTCTATAAGTAAATAGTTCATCATGTTTTAGTGTGTGGGCTGAGATACCGCCCGGGTGCCCATACCGAAGCAGGCGGTTTTCTTAGGGGGCCACACCCCGAGCCTTTGACCTAAAGGTCCAGTCCACAAGGCAGTGGAGCATCGTGAGGAGATGTCGTCCCATGGAAGCCGGTGACCAAGAAATTAGTTCATACGCCATTTGTTCCATCAGGATACTGGAGCCCATGCGCACCATTGATTTGGGATTCGGTTGTAGCGCTGGTCCATTTAAAACTGGTATACACTAAACAGTTGTTTCGTCGTGGTTTCGAACTTATCGCTTATATTCATCTATAACCTCTCTCATGAAATCAAACCTATAATCTTTAGGTTTCATATCCAACGAATTATCATGCGTCCATCAAGTCGAAATTCTTATCAGATGTTGCTTACTAATACTAGTACTGTTTAGGGAAAACTATGATTCATCATTAGTTGCATTAAATTACCATCCGCTAGTGTATCGTCGCTCTTTAAATGTACTTTCAAAAATATCAAATATTTATGCATCTTTTATCCTCATCAGATTTCGAACTTGGTAAACTTGAGTACTTTTCGGCAGAATGGTAGACTCTACATTGGTTATGACAGACTTTATCCTGTTACTCTGCACGGTCATATGACTTAGATATTGATATACACGACCAAGAAGGTATAGTAGACTGTCTTGATGAACGGAATCAAGATGTACTTAACTCAATGATATAATATTTTATATATATACATCGAAAGCTTCAACCAACAGGTATCTCTTTTCACATTTCTCACTTAACATTTGACTTTGACCTAGTCTGTGCACATAGGCACATGGTGTTATGTGTGAATTTCTTCAGTCTATCATATCCTCGTCTACCCTTCATCACTGCTTCATAGTGTTATCTTCTCTAGCTTACCTCTTTATGGATCTAATTCATCAAGTCTTCAGTTAAACTAAAGCGATTAGATTTTTTGAGATTCTTTGTATTACTCAGTTAGGTTGTTCCCACTGAACTTTTCTTCTTTAATCATCTTGTATGATAAAATTTCTCTTTCCTTATTGCTAATTATATTTCAACATAATTTTTTTCCTGCATTCAGATGGAATATCAAACTCAGAATCAACCCGCCATGTTGCGATTTATTTCACAGGGAGTTCTTAGTTCATAACTCGGTGCTTTCTCATACTTAATTCAAAAATATTACATTCGGTGATAGAACACCAAAATAATGTATAGCAATGCTAGTTAAATGTGTTATTTTCATAGTTTTAAGTTTATGTATTTACATAAGTAACCTTTTATCCAAAAACAAGTTCTTGTTAAACCAAGATGCCTAGAGAAGACAACAAATAATAACACATGCAGACTGGTAATTAAGGATCCATTTCTTGAACTACTTTCTACGCACTACATGTTTTAATCGATTGTATACATTTTATGGTAATGTTTAGAAAACAAACCATTGGTTTAAATGCCATTCGTCATCAAGTATGTTCATCAATAACTAAATTGTATGAAGTTTTCTTTCTAAATGGTTAACATAGTTGATTTATTTGATTAATTTGGTTTGTGCAATCAAAAGACAAAGTTTGCCGTAACTATTTTGCAATACGCTGCGTTTTACTTTGTATTTCTTATAGAAATATCTAAACAAATTAAAATGTGATCCATTTGTTCGAACTACATAGTGCCAATTTACCACATTAGTTTCGATTAACTACATACTATCATTTGCTTACGCCTGAAGCATAAAACACTGAAGAGGATTCTCAAACTAACACTATCACGGGTAATCCTGTTCATGTCTGCTTCTAATTCCTAACGCAACGTGTTCCTTGGTTTTGTTCTTTTCCTTTTGCCTTCAGGATTCCAAGTTAGAGCTTGCATCGTGTATGTCCTATCCACCTCCATCGTGTTTGCCTAATTCACCCTTCAGCTGTAAGCTGATTTGTTCTCTCCCACAGTAGGCTGTTGCTGATATTATCCAGCCGACGGATCTGGACTATCTTGCGTAGACGATTATTTATGAATACTTTTACTTTTTTTGCTGATGGTTGTGGTAGTTCTTTAAGTTCCAGCTCCGTACAGTGGAACTGTCTTGAAGTTCGTACTGAAAATTCTGACTTTAATATTGGTTGACAGTTGTTTTGAGTTGCATATGTTCTTCAACTGAAGGAATGCTGCTCTTGCCCTGCCGATCCTTGTGATTACATCTGCTTCGGATTCTCCTTGTTAATCGATTATGTTGTCCAGGTTCGTGAAAGTTTCCATCTGTTCCAAAGCTTTTCCATCAAGTGTGATTGAGGTGGTGTTTTCCGAGTTTCGTTTTAGGATCTTGGTTTCTCCTTTGTGTATGTTGAGACTTACTGCTGCAGAAGCTGCTGATACGCTGACTGTCTTCATCTGCATTTGTTTGTTATGTATGGGAAAAAAGAGCTAGGTGATCTACGAATTGCATCCAAACTGTTCATTGTATTCCGTTCATCCCCTGAAATGTGGAGGTCTTTATAATCCAATTGACCACCAATGTGTGACACCGATCGTCAATTGAAATGAATCTGTGAGCTGTCCTCTTTGCTGGGCACCACCAGTTAACTGTTCTCCAGAAAGTGCTCTCGACAGATATTGTAGTACTATCTGGAGACTTGAATGCTCAGGTCGGGCGTCTAGGCACAGAAGAGAGTCGTTTACGTGGCCGATGGGGACTCGTTGGTCGCAGGACAGATAACGGGGAACGTCTACTGCAACTATGCACAGACCACAACCTGTTTCTGGCTAGCACTAACTTTCGGCACAGTCATCGCCGATGTGCCACCTGGCGTCCCCCTTCTACATCTCAAGCCTGGATACAGATTGATCACATCGCGATCAGCTACCGCTGGCGTGGTTGTGTACAAGACTGCCGCTCCTTTGGAGTACCTATCTGGAATCTGACCATGCTCTGGTCTGCGCCAATCTTACCTTACTTTTCAGTGGACAACGAAGTGACCGTCACCAAAGGATTGATGTTGGCAAGCTGGCTGCAACTTCTGTTGCTAGTAAGTACCGAACTGAGCTAGCTTCTAGGCTAGCTACCATTCCACCGAAAAGTATAGATGAGCATTGGTTGCAATTGCATGACGCCATGAAAATGGTGGGTCAAGTCTGTTGTAGGTTCGCGAAACGTCCCGCTTACAAGCACTGGGTTTCTTCTGGTTCCTTAAAACTGATTGAAGCCCGTCGGTCTACTCCGGGTGACCGTGGGTTTGACCACAGACGAAGGATGTTACGTAATGAAATCGGGCAAAGCTTGCGTAAGGACCGAGAAGCCTGGTGGTCGGAGCGTGCTAATGAGCTGGAAGCAGCAGCTGCATCTGGTAATTACCGGAAGCTCTTTCAACTCATCCGAGCCACTGGCAGCAAGAAGTCTGGTGTGAGCGAAACAATCTGCGAGGATGACGAAATGCCAATCACTAATATCCATCGACGTCTTGGACGATGGGCAGAATTTTTCGAAGTGCAGTTCAACTGGCCTGCTGCTCCGGCAACATCCGTCAGACTGTCTTGCCCTCCATGGCCGGTGACGAATGATCCACCGATGTGCCACCTGGCGTCCCCCTTCTACATCTCAAGCCTGGATACAGATTGATCACTGTCTTCATCTGCATTTGTTTGTTATGTATGGGAAAAAAGAGCTAGGTGATCTACGAATTGCATCCAAACTGTTCATTGTATTCCGTTCATCCCCTGAAATGTGGAGGTCTTTATAATCCAATTGACCACCAGGAGAAAGAGAAAAGGCGATAATTAGCACCAATGTGTGACACCGATCGTCAATTGAAATGAATCTGTGAGCTGTCCTCTTTGCTTTGCACTTTTCTTTCCCAGTCAGTTGACGTCGTCCTATGATATCTCTATAGCCGGTGTTGTCGATTCCAAACCTGACGTTTAGGTCTCCCATCATGATGATGAGGCTCTTTGCTGGGCACTCCTTTTTGATGGACTGCAGCCTCTGATAAAACTGATCATTGTCGCCTTTTTTGTTATCATTGGTGGATGCATAACACTGGATAGCGTTCATTGTGATTCCCTCCTTGTTTGTTTTGAAGGATGCTCTGATGATTGTGGGTCCATGAGATTCCCATCCTATAA